TGTATGTATATATATATATATATATATATATATACATACATATATATTGTACATATATATGTATATGTATATATACAGGGTGTTCTCAAGAAAGGATCATAGATTTTAAGGGCATTTTTGTGGAACCACAAAAAAATAAATAAAAAAGTTCTAAAGGTCCGAAAACGAACGGTTGCCAAGATTTCTCTTGATCTTTGTCTACAAATTTCAGGCTGATTTCTGAATAAATTTCTGAGGAACAACTTATAATGAGTTTACAAGAAAAAGTTGTCCGTTTTGTAACACTTTCACTGAGTAACTACTATTAAAAAATATTAAAATTTGTGCTAAAATTGAATAGCTCATTTTTTTTGCATTTTCAAGCATTTGCAATGTATCGCGAAGGAACGATACGTGATCCCACGGGCTCGCTTTTTTGCGCACGCGCCGCGCTAAGCTAGGGAATCTAATGATGCACATACGCAAAATATGGGCAAAGTTTTGGCAGATTTTCGTAGGAAATTGGAAGACCTTTCTAATAACGTCATATATTTATGTATATATACGGGGTGTCTCAAAATTGGCAATTTAAAAGCAAGAAGGTTTTTGAAAAATTAAGTAAAATATTGGTTATTGTTAAATTTTTATATCAAGCAGTTTTTTATGATTGTAAGGCAGAAGGATTTAAATATTACCATAATTGTGTTTAGATAGTCACTTGTGAATATTAGTGAATATGCTAAAGTAGTTGCTCACTATTGTATGCGTGACTCTTATGGCCATTTAAACATAGTCTGTAATTGATCATATATAAACTCTTATTATCTCGAAAATTACTATTTAAAATAAAAATTTAAAAATAACTTTTTTATTTAATTTTTGGAAAACTATCTTGCTATAGCATTTTGAATCATGAATTTTGGGGTATCCTGTATTCACATACCTATTGTTTTTTAAGAGCAATATTTTAATATTAATTAAACTTACCGTAAACTAAATCTGATGATTCCACAAAATTAAATATAATAAAAATTGATGAAGTAATGGACCAACCATGTAAGTATATATATGCTCTGGTATTGAAATTAAAAATTTTTTAAAGTAGAGTTAGAAAATAGGAACAGACATTTACTAAAATCGGATGTATGATTAAATATCGAAAAGAAGATGGAAAAAGGACAAATCTTAGATTCATTTTCTTTGTACAATCAAATTTTTTACATCTTTTATCTTTTCTCTTTTTTTTTCTCAATATCTAATTGTATACGTTTACGAAAAAAGTCACTGAAAATTTCGAAAAAAAAAATTGAATAAATCTGATTGAATAAACTTGAATATTTTTCTCACTTAACCAATGAGGAGAGATCTCATGTACTTCTTGACAAATACATTTAATGACTGTTAAATGAGGATTATCCGGGAGAAATGATAATGGAAGATGACACACGTCTGCAATTGAGGGTAGTTTTGAGGAACATAAATATTGTGTGCTATATGTATTATCGAAAGAAAGTGTTTAGCATAAATATCAAACGAAATACAAATCCTGCCAAAGATGATATTAAAAAAAATTAAGATTCTTTCGCTATTACTCAAAATTTGAAATAAATTAATTGGAACTAATTTATTATTTATGTGATTATTTAGCTTTAAGCTGAACTTTAATTATTTTAAAATGTAAGTTGAAGTACATTTCAAAATAAACGTAACATATGTTACGTTTATTTTACATTGTTCTATATTGTTCTACATTGTACATCATTCTACATTGTTTAATTTTACATTACTTTATTTTATAAATAAATAATAAATGCAGCAAAAATACTTAAATATTGAGATCTCTTTTGCTTTTTTGTCAAAAATGTAGTCCGTTTTAATTAAAAAATGTCAAGAAATATATTATTTATTAAAATTATTACTATTGTATTTATTTTTTTACTAGTGACAAAATGTTTTTTGAGACATTGTAATTTTATTTTTTATATCCTTTATAATGAATAATTATTTCTTTGAAATATAATCGCCATGCTATTTTGTGTTGAAGAAAGATATTGATGATCAAATATCGACGTACAACATGTTCTCGTTGAAAAATTCTATTTTTTTTTAAATCTTTATTACAATATTTAGGACTGCACTTAAATTTTGAAAGTGCTGTATAATATATCTTACGTTTAAAGTAAAGCTCACGAAGATGAAAGCACGTGCATGTACTCAGAAAAATTCGGACGAAATCAAGCTGATATACAGAAGAAAAATACCTATCAGTAATATTGAGTCAGTAAAATATTAACAATGGATACGATTAACGTGATGCTACAAATGCTTTAAAGTATTTTTGATTAGTCAATTTGGAAAATTCTTTTTTCTAATTTGTCAACAAAAACGCTTCAAAGCATTTGTAGTGAAACCGCAGTATATATCAATATTTTTAAAATCTCACGATTAATACTGACAACATTTGAGCTCGCAGTTTTATATATATTATGGATCTTACACGCGATCAATAATTCTGCCAATATCAATGAATATGACAATATTATCAATGATCTAAATTTTTTATTCTCGAGTATCAATATAGTATACTGATGCTCCAGAATAAAGAAACTCGGCTCACTATCAATATTCTGGATCAATCCATCAATATCAAAACGATCAATATTGTCAGCATTCGTTATTAATATACTTACAGTAATATTAGATACGTAAGGTCTCTATAAATTTTTACTGAAAGCAGAAAGGCCAAATTAAGAGATCGAAAGAAAAAATGCAGTTACGAGCACGCGGAAGAGGGAGTAAAAGAGAGGGATAGGGAAGTAGATAAATATCAACTTAATGATGATATACCGTTGCGATCTTGGCATGACCCCCTTTCTCTCATTTGCTTTTTCTCTCTCTCACTCTTCAACATATCGGCAGATAACATTGACAGGAGTGGCGGAGAGCGTAAGGGTGCGAGGTAGATCATGGGCGGGGGAAAAGAAAAAAGGGGGAACCCACGGATTTTCTTCCTGTACGCGACGATTTCAGTTACTGCCAGTTGGCACGGTGTGTACGGAAGATCTGAGAAGACTGGACCGATCGCAGACCGATTACATAGTATCTCGCGGATACGTTGCGCTTGCAACGCAGAGAATTATTCTTCTCCATCTCCCCGTGATACTCGTGTCGTGTTCTCCAAACCAGTGCACCTACGGCAGGCAAACACAAATACACGATCGCAACCAGTGCAGATTGCATCTGAAAATTATCTCTTGAGTGATTTTTATTTTTCAAAGAGTTTGAGATTTCGTGATTGACAAATTAGTTTTGGTTTTGGGATCGAGATCAGGCCACTTGTGGAGAAAATGGAGAATTAATTTAGCGATTTGATCAATTCAAGTTCCATCGATTACAGAAGATTTTCATCGTCAAAATCGCATGGACGATACAATACTATTTCGGCGGCGAGTAAAAAAATATTCGTGCATCTATCAAGAGTGCCCAGGAAGTGCAGTGTATAAAAACAAATCAGACTTATTCTGCTCGTCGACATTAACATAAAACCGAAATTTTTGCAGTGATTCATTCGCGACTATCTTTAAGATAGGAGAGATCCACAGGAGATTCTATCACCGGATTTAAAAAGGTTTGTATACCGTTCGAAAATCAACATAACAAAGATATTGAGTTTAAGTAGGAATGATCAATATGCAAATCCTGAGTAATTAGTAAATAATTAGTGACATTTGATTTGTAGATTTATTTTCAATAAATATCAAATTTGATAAAGTAGTATATGTGCCGTAAAAAATAATTAACAAGAATCTATTTAACTAAAATGATTAATTAAACGAAAAACTCTCTCTCTCTCTCTCTCTCTCTCTCTCTCTAATACATTAAAAATAGTTTATTGTATTAATTGACAGACAGATCAAAAAGCTGATAAGAATCTGCGCAGATATTGATGCGCACTCAAATATATTATAATAAACGATTTATTTAAAACCGTAATATGTAACTATACAAATAAGAGTTTAATGCTTATTATGGTCGAAGCTGGATCTTAGATGTTTCTTTAAATAATTCCAATGTGAATTTGTATTCTAAATATGTAGTCATTTAAATTGTGCGCTGAAATGATTTTTCGGACTTAGGTCTGATTGCATCAACGTTACTTTAATTTTAAGCATGGCTTAAACTCTCTCGCTTTCTGCCTCTCTATCAGCTTAAAAAAAAGAAAGAGAGATCTTAAACTTCGCGTAAAGTCAAAATAACGTTGGTGCAATCGAACCTTATAAATTAAACTACTATAGTAATAAAAAAAAATTAAATTGATAAGCAATTTAATAATTTTGATGGTCAATTTGGCATCCTATTTGAAAGATGTTAATGTATTGTTTATTACTTAATTAAAAAAAACAGGTTTATTACTTAAAATTACTTAGAACGAAAAAATTACAATTAACGTTTCAACTGTGATTTCCTTTAAAATGCTAACTTAAATATGGAAACTTAAATTGTATAAACAAATGCTACAAACCGCAAAAAAACATTTAAAAGCAAATTTTTGATGTCGTAAATTGAACATAAATAGAGAATTTATC